AAATGGAACATAATGAGTGATAAACACACACACTGACATATTTATACTTACGTATACCTTACGTATGGAAAATAAAATATAACCTATAAACACAACTGTGGACAATTTTTTATAGCTCCCCCTAAACATATCAGGGGGGGCTTTCAGAGGAGCTGGGCTCCACTTGGCTACTTCCTACTTCGAACTGTAAAGCAGAACAAAATTACTGAACCTCATAACATACATACATCCATCCATTTTCTGTACGCACTTGTCTAATGCAGGGTCGCAGGGGTCCGGAGCCAATCCCAGAAGCTTTAGGTGCAAGGTAGGGAAGAACCCGGGATGGGGCTCCAACCCATCGCAGGACACACTCACACACCATTCACTCACGCATGCACCCTATTGGCAATTTAGTGACTCCAATTCACCATAACGTGTTTTTTTCGATTGCGCATAGAACCCGGGTCACCAGAGATCTGAGGCAACCGTGACAGAGAATGTGCCCCCCTGATGCCTCCCTCACAACGTCTTACATGACAAAATGCTACATTATTATGCAGCATAGTGACACAGTGGGTATATCAGTTTGTGGCAGCTATTGATTTTTTACCTTTTTTTTTCAAATTTGATGCATATTAGGGGTTTTTAATTGATGCTGATGTACTACAAGCACTTGGGCTGGATTTCTGATTGAAAATTGTCATTTCGTTACACCCTTAGCTAGCTGTGGTTTACTGTTTATAAACAACATCAGTCTAAACCCTCTCGGGCAATTGCAAACCCAGTGCAAGCCAAAGAAATCCAAAGCAACTATTTTGCCAAACAATATCACTTTGCTATTTGCTTTAGTCTGATGTAGTTTGACAAGATTTAGGTTCCCTGTCATCCACCTGCTTTCAGGCCCTATTTTGGAAACACTGTAATATGAGGACAGAGATATGTGGCACGTCCAGAGACCAAGCGCTGATGCCTTCTATCATCATCACAGCCGTTAGAATCCGTCCGCTGTATAAACCACCATCCTGCGTAACACAAAGCACCGCCGCTCTGCTTCACTTCATTTATCATTTTTTGCTGATCAAATTCCTGGGTGGATTACAGTTCTTCTAAAAAAATGCTCTTATGCCCCCCCCCGGGCCTTGAGAACGAAACACAGCATTACCTAACATGCCGTATTATCTCTTGATGTTTTTTTTACCCAGGTCTTCAGTTAGGGCCAACCTGACGCAAGACTTTCACCTCCACTGAAAAGATTGCTTGGCATCATGTAAACTTACCCCTGAACTTGCTGTTATTATAAGAATTTGTGCTTTGGTAGTTCAAATGGGTGAGCATTTTTTCCTGGATAATGAAAAAGGTGCATGCTTACATTGTATTGTATTTTCTACCCCTGAAAGCAAGGTCACTGACTGATATTTAACAACAGCCATGAACACGTACGATGCATCTACAGTACTAGGCAGTCTATGGAATGACCGTCCGATACACCGGTCTATTCTTTGACTTGACCACTGCCCCATTTTGTTTGGCTAATCAATGCCTCATTGAGTTATTTAGCTAATTAAGCTCATTAATTAATTGAGCTGCTGGTGAGCTTTACCGACGACCTGGAATGGCTAAGGTGCCTCTGAGCAGCAGTTTGGGAACTGAACTAGCAACTTACAAGTAACATTTGGACAATAGAAGAAATTCTTGTTACGTTTTGTTGTACTGCTCTTAGTTGGCATATCTTTTAATGTTAAATTGTGTTTTTTATTCTGAGCGAATGTATACTTACTACCAAAATAAATAGCCGTAAACATTTTTTGACTGTTTAAGATTTTTTCACAATATGCAGATTTTTTTCTTTTCAATGCCACAACCAGTCCAGTAATGAAGGTGGCATCTCCTCTCCTTCCTTATAAAGAAGACACCTTCTCTTCTTCTGTCCTCCACTCATTCATCTTCTGACATTGTGTATTCAGCTAACAAGCAGATACAGTCACATTTGGAAGCCCCCCCCCCCCAGGCTGTCACGGGCCACTGGGGGGGCAGGCACTGAGACGGCTGTGTCTCCGCTTATCGCTTCCCCCCACATGTACAATCTGAGGGCACCTCCAGTCACACATGGTCCAAAGGGCAATGCTATCATTCGCTTAACACTAGGCTGCTGTTTAAAGTTGTTCTGGCAGAGAAGCCGTGTGACATTTAGGCCCAGAGGACAGCAGAGAAGGCAGAGAATGAGTGTGATGCCGTCAGGCTCCAGTTTAACATGCTTTTGCTCTAGTTTGTTATTTTGTAAAATCACAATGAGCTCTTCATGCCACCTAGTTTACCACCGATTAAAACAATTAGTATATATTTGTCTGTCTTATTTATTTCTTTCCTTTGTTGTAGTAGCGGAGAATCATCATTATTTTCTTTATTATTGTTGCCTATCTTCTATAATGGGGGCGATTGCACTCTGATTGATTTAATTTGATATAACTTCAGATGATTGGTGTGTTAAATGTTCGTTTATACTTAGGGGTTCAGTCATATGCTTAGTGGCTTTTAGAGTTTTTACTTTTTTGCTAAAAGAAAATTAACTACTGCTTTGAAAATAGGTGTGTGATTGTAAGGTTCAAATCCCTTGCTTGTCATAGTGATGTCACCATTGGGCCCTTGAGCAAGACCCCCAACTGCCCCAGGGACTGATTCTGGTTTCTTACTTGTATGTCGGTCTAACTTCGCACTAGTGTGGCAAAAAGGTCTGCTAAAAACCTGTAATGTAATGGTGCAAACTTTGTGAGTCTCCAGCACTCGTGTTGAATCCCGTGTGAACGCTTAAGATGCGTGTGAATCCTGTAAGTGTCTCTATGTACTCAACACAAACCGGGTCTGATGTGTTTGCTCTTTGATCAGTGTGAAATTATTATGGGATATAGCATCTAATATGCAGAAAGGAATTCGGCAGTGAGCCTTGTTTCAGCTGGAGTGCTTCTCTTTCCTGTGCAGGAGGAAAGGAGACAGCGAGAGCCTGGGCATGGTGGTAGCCTGGGCATGCAGTTATTATCTATGCACCATTCACTCACCAGAATTATTGCTTTGTTTTGCTTTGAATTGATACATCTCTCTCAATGCCCCCTTTTACAGTCCATTCAAAGCACACAGGGGGCTCTTTAGCCCCAGAGGGCATTTTTTCATGTGTGGTCACTCACAGTTCATGTAGGACAGTGCACTGGAGAAGCCCGCTACTGGAGACAGCAAAAGAAGCAAGCTGTGCCTTATGCCGCAGACGACATGTTCGTAACAAACACTGCTAGAACTGGATACAGTATTCACTGTGGTCTTTGACTCTTTTCATGGTAAAACGTTTACGTTATAATCATATCTTTCTGTCAAACTATAGAATGGCGGTGTGTTTCTGATGAAAGCACTGCAGCAGTGGCGAGTCACTAATAGCTGCTTCCGCTTCCACTGTGAATGTTTCATCTACTGTTATTCAAAGCCTTAGTAATGTATTTGCCATACATGGGCTCTGTGCCACACACATTGTATTGCTTAGAAAAAAATACTAGTATGCATGACTTACCTGCGACTGAAGTGTTTCTGTGTCATACAGGTTATGTTGAAATTCATTGGTACTGAAAAAGCTCCGGCTGGATCTCCATGACATTTCATGATAGGCCGCTTGACTAATCAGTAACTAATGTTTTTCCGGACAATGCCGGTAAACTGCAATTGAGTCCCCTCCCCCCTGGTTTGAAATATTTACCGTGGGTATATGTGGCTATTTCAGATTTAACGTCCCTTAATTTTCACTTTGGCTTTTTTGTCTAGCCATTTGAAAGAGCACTATAGTGTTTTCATTGGTCAGACCCATTGCAGTTCACCTGCCTTTACCTGCTGTCCTGAAACACACCCCCTACTGATCACTCAAATTCCGCGAGCCGCCCCTCCCTCCAGCACGGCCCTGACGGGGGCTCCTGCGGCTGACACACTGTCTATGGTGATGTTTGTAGATGAAACAGGCCGATCCCATCCCACTTCTGCACGGCTGGCCACCTCCCTGCAAGCCTGGCTGCTTCCTGTGACAAGCAATTTGAATGTCAAAAACCTCCATTTTTACCAAGGCATATAACAATTTTATCACAGCTATAATGGACAAATCCTTAATGTATTCATAAACATAAATTTAATAAACGACACGTGCTTACCTTTTTTAATATGACACATCAAATCATAGACCGTGGATAAATAATTCTTTTACCATTTGCCATAAATCCATTTATTTATAGCATGTGACAAAAATAGCAACACATAAACAAACTAATTAAAATGAAATACTAAGAGGGACTTCAATGTGCTGGGCAGAGATTGACTGAAGTGGTCGCTGTTGAACCATCCCTAAGCACTGCTTTTATTTTGTAACCAACGGACTTTAATTTTGGGAACATACCTGTTGTAGGATCTTCACCAAACCTTAAATCGTGATACATATATGCACCTCTTTCTATGGTTTCACACAGAAGAAAAAGAAGTTCGTAATAAAGTGTTTACTGATTCTCAAATATACCGGATTGTATTTCCACATATTATATTTACCCAATCTACTGTCTATGGTGAATGCATTTGCCGTGAATTTACAAGTTACCTACATAAATCCCATTATAATAGTAATGTATTTAATAATTTAATGAATTTTGGTGCCAGAATTTTACTTTTTCCAGTTGTCAGATCTACCAGCATCATTTTTGATTTTCAGCGGTTGTGTTATTGGTTATCCGTGGTAGGTGTTACAATGGTCAGTCAGTTGTATTGCCGGATTCCCCCACTCACCTCATGCACATAAAGCTATCTGCCGTCCAAACCATTTTCATCATCCTCTCTTGTTTGTCCATTTGGGCTGCTGAGATGCGCATTGCCGTGCTTCACGTAGTACAATCAGGAGAGTCAGACGCCAGTCCGTGTTCTCTGAGCCACAAACTACAAATCTCACATTACCGCTGACACTTTTCTTGGAACTTTCCACTTACTTATATATTTTATCTTTTTAGAGTGTCTGTGCTGGAGAGCGGCAGTCTGTGGATCTCCAACGTGACCAAGTCAGATGCAGGCTTGTACACATGTGTTGCCAGGAACCAGTTTGGAGTGGCAAGCCGTGCTGGAACCCTGCTGGTTAAAGGTAATTGCTGGGAAGCAGTCACATGTTACCTCAATCAGGGGTTTCACACTAGTTTATTGCTGGTGTGCACAAGCCGCTGATCTTAATAAATACTCCCACTGGTGCATCTACAGTAGCATACAGTACAATAGAGGATAGCAGAGTGAGCTATCTTTCCTCACTGCAATGCAGAGTTTAGACACCACCTGTCATGAATTCAAAGATATTCAGTAAAGCTGAATTTTTAACACCAGTTCTGAAAAGACCTTCCATTTTATAGAAACAGCTACGATAAAGTTTCATAAAGGTTTTCTTCTAACTCTTGAATTACTCTTATATTTGAGATATAATACATTTACAGCTCGCCATTCGGTAAAGTACAGTGTCTCCTTCTGCCTTTAATCTGCAAGCCTTCTCCCTTGTGACTCTATTATTTGGGTGTGCAACCTGTCAGTGTTACACTGTAGGATGAACACAGTAAGCTTCAAGAAGGAATGTGATGCTGAATAACAGAGCATCATGGGATACTTCCTCCCTCTCATGTTGCATGTAATGTTATGTAACGTCTAACTGGCAAGAGCATCTCTGAAAACAACTAGACTATTGGGTTTCAAAACTTTTAATAAAGTGAGAACAAGTTCTCATTTTGGAATTATCTCAGACTCTGGTTAGCATTGAAACCCACTCCATCTCCCTGAGAAATGTGAAAACATTGTAAGATATTATAAATCACTGTTTCCCAACCCAGTCCTTGGGGACCCCCCAGACAGTCCATGTTTTTCCAACTGGGAACTGGGAGGGAGCAAAAACGTGGTCTGTCTGGGGGTCCCCAAGGACTGGGCCGGGAAACGCTGTTATGAATGATTCATTGTGCAATATAGCTGATCAGTATTCTTGGAATGTTGTGCTATAGATAAAAAGGGGTTTGGCCTCATGCGTCATTACTTATATAAAAATACTGAATTACTGTCAGATCAGTTAAATTAGGGCACCCAGATTTTTTTATAGAAATGACATTCTAAAGGTAGAGCAAGTAAAGAGTACGAATTCTGAGGGACAAGAAACTAAATCAGCAGAAATAAAGAAAAAAATTATGAATTAAGCTTGTATCTTATATCACTATCAATAACAAAACACCAATATTTAAGGAAAGAAGTGAATAAAACTTCAATCAGTTATCAAAGTTATTTTTATAGAGCAGAGGACTGTATTTCTGATTGACTAGTAAGGATATTATCATTTCTGGAGTGATAAATGTAGCCTGATCGCACACTGCGCCATTAGTCACTACTCCAGTCTGCTAAAGGCAGATTGTAAGACTTGAAGACAGATAGCGGCCAACCGGGGTTATCATGTGACCTCTCTGCAGCCACTCAGAGGATCTAACAATGTTCTCCTCTATGCTGCTGCCAGCACAGTGGGATTTCAGAGCTGTTGGACGGAGGATAAATGTGTATATGAGAAGCTGATTGGTGTAGGGGGGTTCCCTGCCAGGCTAGCAGTCCCCTTATTGGTGTAGGGGGGTTCGATGCCCAGCCAGCAGTCCCCTTATTGGTGTAGGGGGGTTCCCTGCCTGGCCAGCAGTCCCCTTATTGGTGTAGGGGGGTTCCCTGCCCGGCCAGCAGTCCCCTTATTGGTGCAGAGGGGTTCCCTGCCCGGCCAGCAGTCCCCTTATTGGTGCAGAGGGGTTCCCTGCCCGGCCAGTAGTCCCCTTATTGGTGTAGGGGGGTTCCGTGCCCAGCCAGTAGTCCACTTATTGGTGTAGGGGGGTTCCCTGCCCGGCCAGCAGTCCCCTTATTGGTGTAGGGGGGTTCCCTGCCCGGCCAGCCGTCCCCTTATTGGTGTAGGGGGGTTCGATGCCCGGCCAGCAGTCCCCTTATTGGTGTAGGGGGGTTCCCTGCCTGGCCAGCAGTCCCCTTATTGGTGCAGAGGGGTTCCCTGCCAGGCCAGCAATCCCCTTATTAGTATTGATGGGTTCGCTGCCCGGCCAGCAGTCTCCTTATAGGTGTAGCAGTCCCCTGATTGGTGCAGATGAGTGCCCTGTCAGGTTAGCACTCCTTTTAGAGATGTGGAGCCTTCCTGCGATGATATGATGATGGCGCTGATTTGCTGAAAGCAGTCCTTAACGGTCTGGTGTCATTGGTTGAGGTTCTTTTGCTCCTGCTATTTCAGTTTTTTGGTTCCAAAAAACACAATTTGAATAATGAGTTTACCTCAGACTGAACCTCCAACGAATAAAGGGCAACTGACAGAGTTTATATGTTGGCACCATTAAGAGTTTCTTCTATACCTTCAGATGTGTCTCTGTACCTTAGCATTATTAAACTGCTGACCATTTAGGTAACTCCAGTTCAGTATTCAGTTCAATTCAATTCAATTTCATTTGCATTTTCACTCAAAGTGCTGTACAGTATGCCTGCTCAATTTCTGCAGACAGCAAGCCAGAGGCAATGGTGGCAAGGAAAAACTCACTAGTACAAAGAAAACTGGGAGGAATCAGACTCAAAAAGTGAGCCCATCCTTCCGGGGGCCAGGAGTGAAAGTCAACTGGTTAAAATCTAGGTGTAAATGCAAAAAGGTTCAGTGGAGTTATAGATAGGAGTATATAGATGCTGTCAGGTGATGGTGCTTCTTTCAACGCCAAGATGAGCAGTGATGCGGTCGAGGCAGGGGAGACGCCACAGGCAAGGGGAGAGACGTCACAGGCAAGGGGAGAGACGTCACAGGCAAGGGGAGAGACGCCACAGGCAAGAGGAGAGACGTCACAGGCAAGGTGAGGGACGTCACAGGCAAGGTGAGAGACATCACAGGCAAGGGGAGAGATGCCACAGGCAAGGGAAGAGACGTCACAGGCAAGGGGAGAGACGTCACAGGCAAGGTGAGGGACGTCACAGGCAAGGGGAGAGACGTCACAGGCAAGGGGAGAGACGTTACAGGCAAGGTGAGAGATGACACAGGCAAGGTGAGAGACATCACAGGCAAGGGGAGAGATGCCACAATCAAGTGGAGAGACGTCACAGGCAAGGGGGGAAAGGTCAGAGGCAAGGCAGGGGATGTCACAAGCAAGGGGAGAGATGTTACAAGCAAGTTGAGAGGTGTCACAGGCAAGGGGAGAGACGTCACAGGCAAGGGGAGAGACGTCACAGGCAAGGGAAGAGATGTCACAAGCAAGGGGAGAGATGACACAGGCAAGGCGAGAGACGTCACAGGCAAGGGAAGAGATGTCANGGGAAGAGATGTCACAAGCAAGGGGAGAGATGACACAGGCAAGGCGAGAGACGTCACAGGCAAGGGAAGAGATGTCACAAGCAAGGGGAGAGATGTCACAGGCAAGGGAAGAGATGTCACAAGCAAGGGGAGAGATGTCACAGGCAAGGCAGGTGATGTCACACACAAAGGGAAAGACGTCACAGGCAACAGGTTTCCAGTAATTATTAGAATCAAATAACTGACGTGAGCTGGACTGACTTAGCTCAGTTCACCTAGCGCCACAATAACATGTACAGCTATGTACTGGATCACTGTTTCGGACTTTACTCATATATCTCTACATTGGCTGGTCGTGAGCAGTAGTGACTCCAGTTACTCTGCTGTTTATTGTTCTGCAGTGCATTCTAGGATGCAGTTGGTGGCAGAAACATGAACATCATATTATCACACTAATATCCCTTAATGTGACCGTCATATACAGTATTCAATTCCCCTACAAATGTCAACACAAAGCTTTCAAGGGTATTTGTAAGCTATTTTGATCTTTCTGTTTCATTCATGTTTGATTCTGGAAGACGTGCTTGCAGTTCTTTTTATTCCCAGTGTAAATAATAAAAAGAGCTTTTAGAATATATTCATCCAACTCCAGTGAAGGTCAAAGAATGATTCTCACTTTGAAATGGGGGACATTCAGATAATATCACTTTTAGAGACATCCCATATGACCAATTGGTAAAGCTGCACTTTAACTAGGAAATATTTTTTCTTTATAACATAAGTTTAAATATCTTTCAGATCTATCTACAATTATGTATGGAATTTCAGCTCAAACTCGTCACCAAGAGACATGGAGATTTTGTCTATTGAAATATCTTCTAGTTCAACAAAAGCAGATACTGTAAAAATATTATCGAATCTCTTAATACCATATTTCCTGGTCTTGTCCAGCAAGCTTTTCAACCCTGTGAGGTGAGAGACCCTTCACTGAAAGTATTATGACCTTTCTGTTTGTGTGACCACTGTTCACCCCCCGTGTCCTTGAATTGCTCATTCAAGAAAAAAGAAGGACATCTTGTCTAAGGAAGCGAACCCAAAGGGGACGTTCTGAAGTGCTTAAATGCTTACGGTGATCCAACTTGTGAAGATCTGGTACTTTGGCGCATGGATGCCAACCTTGGAGAGCCATGGAACCTTTAAAAGCCCCAAGTCTAGAACCCTCCTCCTCATCTTCATCCACTTGAAAATAGGAAATCTGACGCCATGAATTTCCTTAACTTCAAAGCTCCCCTTATCAGTTATTTTAGGTGATATCCTGTTTTTATCTTAATGCAAGTTACTCAGAGTGTAAATGTTAAAATGAGGAGTACTTAGTTTGCTATTACTTATGCCCCTTATTGTTAAGCGAGCTGTTATCTCGGCTATCAGTGATCTGCTTTTTTGAGAGTCGGAGAGAAGTTTTACTTCTGGGACTAATAAATCCCATTCTATATGAGGGTACTATCTCAAAGTATCTTAATAGCCTACTTGTCCTAGGTAGCTACAGTAAATTTAGTTACCTTTGATAAGTCGATTAATGTTTCTGCAACATTGATACTTTTATTGTCTTTAAATTGATGAGCTATGCATGACACTGATAATAACTGCGAAGCTTTCTGTGCCATAGTTAGTTTCCTATCACCTGAAAGCTGCATTTGGACCTAATTTTCTAATGTGAGACAGATGGACAGAATCGATTTTAGGTCATAGTTCGCTCACTTCTGTTCTGACGCTCTTTTCAGTTTTGTCTTTTTTTTTTGTTGATGCATCATAAA